GTGAATAGGTGTTCTAAACTTTTTCAAAATTGTAACAAGTGAAATAAACCAAAATTACAGTGTCCTATCACACCAAATATATCAAGGTAATATCAAATTAAGCTCCACAAATTTATGTTATACGCAGAAAATTAATCCAATGACATATGTATTAAAATCTCTAAAATTAATGCACAAAGGAGCTTGGATATTACACAATTATTTTTCTAATCAATGGACACCAATAAATTTGATTTAAAAAAAAATATCACAATTATAACCAGAAAAATCAGATTTGAAATTTATCTCAAAATTTCACATAAAATTCAGAATTAGTTCTAGATAAATCTTTTAATAATAAACCAAAATAAATCTGAATTTTAATCACAATATACTTCAATTAAAACAGAAAATTCAGATTTAATATTCCAACAATAAAATTTCTAGAACAATTCAAGATTAGGTTTCTAAACAATAAATCCTAAACAAAAATCTGAATTAAACACAATATGCCTCAATGAAATCAGAAATTCAGATTTAACATTTTTAACCAAAATTCTTCAAGATTTCAGAATATAGGGTTCAAATAGAAATATTAACCAAGAATATGAGTAGATTAGAGTTTACCACAATGAAGCTCCAAAAGATGATATGAGTTGTTCTCACAAGAATTCCAAATATTCAGTATTATTTCAGATATCAAGAGATCTAACATATTCTTGAATTGCGATATGGTTCTGAGAAGATTTTCTTCTCTTCAAAAATTTTCTTGCTTCACAATGTCGAAGAACAGAGAGAAACATCAAGAAGCAGAGGCACGACACAGAGAGAGAGATTTTAGACAATGAGATTCGCTCATGAAGATGAAGTCTTTTGTTCGGTTCTCTCTGTAAATCTCTTCAAGCGGTGAAGAATAGAAAGAGAACGAAAAATACACGAAACTTAATCTGACGAAGACCTAGGAGTTGATAAAGTGATGCTTTCTTTTCTTTTAGTCAAAAATTAATGAATTCAGCTTGGTAAAGTGATGCTTCCTTTTTATTTTGTTTTGAAAGCCACGTGAATCAATTTGCTTTATTTGATAGCTTTCTTTCTTTTATTTTTATTTTATTTATTATTTAAAGCAACTTGTATATATATATCTATCAACGTAACATGAAGTTTAAATGAAAAGAACGCTGTGCATTTAGGTTTGTTTCGTTATTTATATATTAACAGAATGTGAAAGCTGAAACGTTTTCATTACTGAGAAAACTGAATTGCAAGAATTCTGGAGTTACTGTACATCGTCCTATATATATATCTGAAGGAAAGTAAAGTGCAAAAGAAAACTAGTAACTAATCTAACCATTACTAGTGCCAGCTCAGCTAACAAACTAATAACAGACTAAATAGTGAACTAATTACAAAGAAAAGTTCTTATTTAAATTAAGAGGTATAATACCCCCCCCTCAAGTTGGTGGGTGGAGATAATACAACCCCAGCTTGAACAGAAAATCATGAAAAGAAGCTGTATTGAGTGCCTTTGTAAAAGTGTCAGCAATCTGTTGATGAGTAGAAACTGGTAAAAGATGAATCAAACCAGATGCAAGTTTCTCTCTAGTCACGTGGCAATCTAGCTCTATATGTTTGCTCCTTTCATGAAAAGAAGGATTATGGGCCAAGTAAATTGTTGCCTGATTATCACAATAAAGATTGGCTGGCTGGTTGATGGGAACTTGAAGATCATGGAGCAAATAAGTAAGCCACTGGACCTCACAAGTAGTAGTGGCTAGAGCACGATACTCTGCCTCTGCAGATGATCTTGAGACCGTGCTTTGTTTCTTTGACTTCCATGAGATGAGAGAATCACCAAGAAATAAGCAAAAACCAGTAGTAGACTTTCGGGTGTCAGGACATGTAGCCCAATCTGCATCAGCAAAGCCAGATAGCACAAGGGAACTTTGAGAAGAGAAGAGCAAACCTTTTGCTGGAGAACCTCTAAGGTATCTTAGAACCCGAATGGCAGCTACATAATGTTCCTTCATAGGCTTGGCCACAAATTGGCTCAATTGTTGCACAACAAAACAGATGTCAGGTCTAATATTGGTCAAATACATCAAACGACCAACCATTCTTCTGTAAGTAGCAGGGTCATTAAACAACTCCCCTTGATCCTGTTGTAGTCTTAAAGAGGGCTCCATAGGTGTAGATGCTGGTTTAGCATTGAGTAATCCACTCTCAGCCAATAATTCCAACACATATTTTCTTTGGTTTAAAATTAAACCAGTTTTGGATCGATCAATCTCAATACCGAGAAAAAAATGTAAAGGACCAAGGTCTTTGATGCAAAACAAATTATCTAAATGTTTCTTGACAACATTGATCTGAAGCATACAACTCTCAACAAGGATCATATCATCTATGTATACCAGAAGACAGGTAAAGGTGTCACCTTCAGCCTTAGTGAATAGAGAATAATCAGCCTTAGATTGGATAAAACCAAGATTGTGAAGTTCCAAAGTCAGCCTTGCATTCCACTGGCGACTAGATTGCTTCAATCCATATATGGACTTATGTAGTTTGCAAACTTGATTTGATCTAGTAGATTCAATGCCTTGAGGAATAGTCATATAGACCTCTTCTGGCAAGTCACCATGAAGGAAGGCATTATTAATGTCGATTTGCTCAAGAAACCAACCCTTGACAACAGCAACAGAAAGCAATAACCTGACTGAAGTGAGCTTAGCAACGGGAGAGAAGGTCTCAAAATAGTCAACCCCTTCCATTTGATTATAGCCCTTGGCTACCAAACGAGCCTTATGTCTAGCTACAGTACCATCAGGGTTATGTTTGGTTTTATACACCCATTTAGATCCAATAGGATGCTTTCCTTTGGGTAGATCAACAACAGACCAAGTCTGGTTGCGATATAGAGCATCAAGCTCTTCATTCATTGCCAAAATTCATTCCTTGGATTTGACAGCTTGGCTGTAAGTACGTGGCTTAATGGAAGAACTCAGGTTGTGACATAAGGAAGCATAAGAAGGAGAACATTTGTTATAAGTAACAACAGAAGATAATATGTGAGTGGAGGAGGTGTGTTTACCTGGAGAATAATTGGGTTCAGCTATAACTGTGGAAAGATTGCACTGAAAATCATTAAGATGATGAGGTGGCATCCTTACTCTATTGGACCTTCGAAGAACTGTGGGCAACTCTGGTATTGGCTCCTGGTTTTGAGGTCTGGTTGTTGTATCAGTAATTGCATTGGTAGGCTCAAAAACGGAGTTGGAGGGTAGGATAGGAGTTTGGTTCTCAAGTGAAGATAAAGCAGTGTATTGGTTGGGTTCAAAGGGAACAATTTGGTTTGCAACTAATGGTGAAGTGACAGGTTGGGTAGGTTGAGTGTTAGATACATGTGTGTCATAGATGGGAGGTATGAGAGTAGGTAGCACTCTAGGTGATTCAGAGGATATAAGATCAACTTTCTGATTATCAACAAAAAGGAATTCTCTTTCATAGAAAACAACATTCCTAGAAATCAAGATTTCTTTGGAAGCCAAGTCATATAGCACATAACCTTTGGTTCTATCTCTGTGTCCAAGGTATATACACTTGTGGGCTCTTTTGTCAAATTTGGTGCGATGTGCCTGAAGAGTGGCAGCAAAAGAAAGACATCCAAAAGTCCTAAGATGTACTAAGGGAGCTGGCTTTTGGTAAAGTGACTCAAAAGGAGATGTATTCTGTAAGGCCGGAGTATTCAACCTATTGATGATATGGATGGCATGTTGGATACAATAGCACCATAATATTTTGGGAACATTTCCTTGAAAAAGGAGTGCCCTGGCTGTATTTAAAATATGCTGATGTTTTCTTTCCATAACAGCATTTTGTTGGGGAGACTCAACACATGAAGTCTGGTGTAAGATCCCTTTTTGAGCAAAGAAATCAGACATTAAGAATTCAGAACCATTATCACTTCGAAGTGTCTTAATAGTTACACCAAACTGGGTTTCTATAAGTGTGACAAAATTATGGATATGGGTTCTAGTTTCTGACTTTAATTTCATCATGATGCCCCATGTAAAACGTGTGTGATCATCAACTATTGTTAACATGTATTTGTGTCCATGAATGGAAGGAACAGAATAAGGACCCCAAATATCCACATGAACCAAATCAAAAGCTTTAGCAGAAACAGTAACACTCAAAGGAAAGGGTAACTTCTTTTGTTTAGCATAGTGGCATATATCACAAGGATTGTCAACATTTCTACAAGAAATGAAAGGGTATTGAGTCATCATTGACTTTATTACAGAAGAAGAACAATGACCTAATCTTAGGTGCCACAAATCAATAGAACAAGGTTGAACAGAAACTGTATTGGTAAGGTATTTATTTTGTGATGGTACAATCTTCTGGTCATGAGCTTGAGTAAGAATGTACAATCCACCATCGAGTTTAGCTGAACCAATCATCTCCACTGAAGGATGCTGCTGAATGGTACAAATGAGGGGCTGAAAAATGACACAACAGTTAGTGTCTTGAGCAAGTTTGGTGACTGATATGAGATTAACACTAAAGGTCTCAACAAATAAGACATTTAACAATATAAGTGTTTGTGAAAGTACAATTGTTCCTGAGTAATGAGAGTAAACCTGACTCCCATTGGGCAAGGAAATGGCTATTGGATCAATCTTCTTTGGATGGATTAAAATAGCAAAGGAGTGAGTAATGTGGTCAGTGGCTCCTGTGTCAAGGATCCACTGTACCATATTATTGTTACCTGAAGAAGATTCTGAATTCTCTGTATTAACTGACTTAACATTGATTCCAGCATTAAGTGCCTTGGTTTGTACAAGGTTGCTGACATGTGAGGGTGCCATTTGCTGCTGTTGTGGAGATTGATACTTCATATAATGTTGAATCATCTCCAAAATTGCATGATACTGATCTTTAGTAAAATTCTCTTTGTTCCCTTGAAGAGTAGCCACTTGATTATGACCAGCACGGGAATGCACCACTTGGCTATGGTCAGTTTACGAATGTACTTCTTCAGAAGTATCAGTGCTTGCAATATTTGCCTTATGGACCTCCTTAACTCTATATCCAGGAGGATATCCATGCTTCTCAAAGCATGTATCAACAGTATGGCTTGTCTTGCCACAATAAGTGCACAACCGTGGAGTAAATGCTCTCCCATGTCCTCCATGGTAACCACGTCCTCCATCTCCATTGTAACCACGTCCTCCATTATAACCACGTCCTCTTCCTCGAGGATAAAAATGACCACGTCCTGAATGCTGCTCTGTTGAGTTGAAAAATACCTTGGAATTTCCATCTGTGACATTAGGCATCACATTATTCAAATTCATCTGTCTTTCCTGCTGAGTGATCAAGGAAAATACACGGTTTATAGGAGGCAGTGGGTCCATTAACATGATTTGAGATTTCACATGAGAAAATATCTCATTAAGTCCCTTTAAGAATCGAATAGAGTAGTCTCTATCCCTGATGCTTCTCACTTGAGAAGAAATTGAACAGCAAGGCTTAGCACATTTACATGTAGGTGTTGGTTGTAAAGACTCCAACTCATCCCACAGGATCTTGAGTTGCGTATAAAAATCTGAAACAGAATTCTCTCCTTGATGCAAACGGAATATTTCATCATGCAAGTCAGAGATTCTAAAAATGTCTGACTGAGAAAACCTTTCTTTAAGGTCTCTCCATACATCAACAGCTCGATCCATCCAGAGGATCGATTGTGAAATGGAATCAGTAATGGATCGATGCAACCATGAAAGGACCATGGTATTACATCTCTCCCAAGAAGCGTACCTTCTATATGCCAGATCTAGAACAGAAATTGAACCATTGACAAACTGAAGCTTAATTTTGGAAATCAAGGCCATAGTCATGGCTCTAGCCCAACCATGGTAGTTCTTACCGTTCATAAGTGTAGAAACCAATACCAGAGAGGGATTTTCATTCGGATGTAGGTAATAAGCACTAACTGGATCTGAGAAATTCTCTAATGCATGTGTTGCTTTAGTGTTTGCAACTGCATGTGTGGTGTCTAAAGCATCTTCTTCATCCACAGAACGAATATCAACTTTGGGTGAGCTCTGATTCGCCATAATCGTTCAACTCCAATTATCGAAGAACAGAAGAAACTCAAAGTGTGTCTTGAAGGAAGAGAAATTGCAACGAAGAAGGCGCAGAAACAAAACGGCGAATATCAGAGCTCCGATGGAAGCTCTGATACCATAAGAGAATGTGAAAGCTGAAACGTTTTCATTACTGAGAAAACTGAATTGCAAAAATTTTAGAGTTACTGTACATCGTCCTATATATATATCTGAAGGAAAGTAAAGTGCAAAAGAAAACTAATAACTAATCTAACCATTACTAGTGCCAGCTCAGCTAACAAACTAATAACAGACTAAATAGTGAACTAATTACAAAGAAAAGTTCTTATTTAAATTAAGAGGTATAATATATATTACTTTTATTTTGTTTTTATTTTGGTTTTTATTAAAACAAATTTTAATATGAGAAATACATAATATGTAATGATATGCATTGGAGCTTAGGTAGATACTAAATGATATAATATAGTGTGTAACATAATTTCTAAAAATACCTAATCACTTGTATCTTCACACTCCAACTTCAATTTGAGACTTTTTGTAAATTCTTTATCATCATCAAAATATATATTCCATATTCCATAACGCATAGGAGGTCTTCATAATGAGTGTAAGACTTACCGGAAGATGAGCTTTTTTTACCTATATTAGGATGTCTAGTGCTCTTTTCTTTTTTCTGTTTTCGTTTGTGTGTGACTGCTCTTGTGATTACACAATAAATAGTAGGGAAGATGAGCCGACGTGTATTCCTTAGTCTCGAATTGATAATTTTCACTAAGCAACAAGTAGCTTTTTTTTTTCGCACTTGGGGGATAGGCAGAGTAGCTTTGACCCATATATAGCCTCTCAAAAGTCAAAACTATTCACAGAATTTCTCTCATTAACAGTCCAAGATCAGAGCGCCGTATCAAGAGTAACGACATTAAAAGAACTCAATCTAGCATACAAGCTAGCTAGCTATCCCATGCCTCGAAGGCTTTGCAGAAATGATATAAGCGCATATGATTTGTATGTTGTAGCTATCTTTTTTCTCTCACAACCAACGGAAAATTACATTCATAGGGCACGGTATGAATTATTTGGGAATTACTCCCGCACACGTACTGAAACTGAATTGAGAATGTATGTCCACAGTCCACGCCGAACAAAATAGTCATTATCATCGGATATGTATTGATTGTATTCTCTTCTTTTACTCATTAACAAGTGAATAATAATAATAATAATAATAACAATAAAAATAATAGTAAATAATAAATCAAGTTTTATATAGAACAAGTGAATCTGTGCGTAAATAATAGCTTCGAATCAAATTTATGTATATTTATACGTAAAGAATTAATTCCATAAAAATTTTGAGTTATTAGATGAAGATGTATTTATCCATTGTATGAAATTTTATAATATTTAATTATTATTTGTGAGGATCAAATTTATGATAACTTGGTCACTAAGACTCTAATATTATATAAATAATCAATTAAACCCAAAAACTTGAATTATTAGGTGAAAGCACATTACTGATCTTGTATTTTATATCATATCTATCTAACAGTCTAGAGGTGGTAAAATGAGTTACTCGCCCCGCTAGACCACCAATCTATTAAAAATGTGAAAAAAAATTCAAAAATTATATTCTCAAAAAATAAAAAATCCAACATAGAATCAACCTGTACCGAGTGAGTTCAAACAAGTTAGTAAGTTGAAAATCTCAACCCAATCAATCATTTTTCACGGATTAAACGAGTCAACCTAATATGTTGGATCCGTTTTGCTACCTTTGCTCTATAGTAACATTTGGTGAGATAAAAAAGGTTTAAGGGTTGACTTAAAGGTGGTAAAATGAGTTTGACCCATTGGGTCAACCTAACTAATTTAGTGGGTTGGGCTGTATTCTCCAACTCGCCAACTTGCCCCGCTTACTGGATAGATTAAAGCAGAGTGGTGTAGGTTAGGACGGATAGATCCGATGTGTTGAGTTTTTGTTTTTGTTTTTATTTTTTAAAGCTTAATTGAATAATTTAGTTAAAATATTTAATTTTTCTTCTAAAATATCTCACTTCTTTGGCTTTTCTTTTTTATTGTGTCAGGTTAACCCGCCAACAAGTCACACAATGAGGTGAATTGAGATTTTCAACTCATTTTTAAGAAGTCGTTTGGTTTAGCTTATTTTAAAAGTAACTTTTACTACTTCCTTATTTTAAAAGTACTTTTTACAAAGTTAAAGCTATTTATATTTTTATAAAAATATTTAGTTTTTGAAAAAAATATTTGGCTTTTGATTTTTGCTTTTCTTAGAAGTTGAAATTTTTAGTTTCTGAAAAAAGTAAATTTTTGAATTTTTTTGTGACTTCTCCTTTTTTTAAAAACAGACATCCAAACGAACTAAAAACGAAAAATATTTTTTTTCTTTAAAAATAGCAGCTTTTGAAGAAAAAAAAAACTCATTCAAAACGGGCCCTAAAAATTGGGTGCGACATGTTAACATGTTTTACGGCGGATTGTAGGCGATCAAATAACCCATATTGCCACTCTTTTGTTTCTACTTAGAAAAACTATTTTTTATTTAAAACATATTTAAAAAAATTATGTTAATTTGATAAAAAAATTGAAAAAAAACTAATTATATAAATTAAATATTTTTAAAATTGATTTAAACAGTACACGTGTAAAGAAATTAATTTGGTTACGTTATAAGAGATAATTTTATCTGAATGTGAGACCTATATTATTATTTTTTTTCTCTTTTCTTAATCTGATTTCATATAAGTCACACATATTTTTATATATATGTAAAAAATAAAATTATCTTTATTTGATATGAGAAACGATAATACTCCAACGAGTTTACACAAAAGTATAACCCAAACAATGTAGATTCCATGTGCTGGTTCATGCGTGGCGCAACAACAACCTTTCTATTCATAATATAAAAATTATTTCACGAAGTATGTTAATTAATGGGCACAGAACTAATTTAATTATTCATTTCGATTTCGAGTCTTTGATATGAAAATTTGTTTCTTGGAATCCTATCTGACTAGAATAATGGGTGGAAATTTAAAAAAAAAAAATTATATTTTCCCAAAATTGTCACATCCATATTTTTTAATTACATTTTTTAAATTATTAAATTATAATTTCATTTTATTATTTTTTATGTTTCTAACCTTCACATTTTTAATTTTTTATTCATCTTTCTAAAATTTTTAAATAAACAAAAATCAAAGCTTATAAATTTTTATGCATCACAAAATATATATTTTATTATAAATATTAATTATAAATAAAAAATAAAAAAATACAATAGTAAAATATCTTTAAGTGATATTCTTTTACGTTTTCATAAATTTTATCTTTCAATCTTACGTCTACAAAATATAAGGAAAATAGTATTTAACATGAGATGAATTTTTATCTATTTATTAAATTTTTGATTGATATTAAAATGTTTTATTGAATAGATTGATGAATTTTCTACTGAAGCAACTAAAAAAATAATAAAGTTTGAGTATTAGAAATTGATTAAATTAATAATCATAAATATTTTGATTTATCTACCTATCAAAATTTAAAAGGAATTATACATAAGTCAAATGAACTGTGGAATAAAATTACATTGACTTTTTTGAATTCCAAATTATGTTTCATCAGGAACCTATACTTCATTTTAAGTTACGTTTAAAAACATGTTGAGATATGTACTAAAAAAAACATGTTGAGATATGTTTAAGAACACTATTAATTATTATTATTATTATCATAAATTATCTTGAATAAAAAGTAACTGACAAATTATTAACGTGCATTAATATTACATAAAATAATTTTGTTGAAGCTTTAAGATTAAAACTATCAAAATATATATAATTAAGTTTGAATTAAAAAATATACTTTGCGTATATGAAATTAAGAAGTATATGTAAATATTGTCTCAATTAAATAATTGTTTTTGATTCATTCAACATATCAAAATATATAATGACCTATCTATATATGCATATAAAATTAAAAAGTGTATATACATATATTAAATAAATTCAAGTCATATAATTATTAAAACTTAAACATAAGTCTTTTGTTATACGTTATAAGCTGTGAGAATTTTTGAATTTATTTTGTATTATAAAAGTTAAATAAATGTTCTCTTTTAAATATTTTGATTAATTATTTTTAAACTGTTAATTTAAATCTGTACTGGATGTTCATCTATTAAATTAAATAACTTATTATCATGAATATTAAATTTAAATAATTATACAATCCATTTAGGTCCTAATTAGCTTTATAAATAATTCACCAATTGAAATTCAACTCCTTCACAAAATAACAAAGACATGAAAAATACATATGTTGTCATGGAGTCGTTTTGTAATCCAGCTATTGAAATTGAACCACTATTTTATATAATTAATGAAATCATAAAAAAAAAATGTATGGAGTTGTAACAGGTGAAGGGTTTTTCCAGAAAAAAAAAATTGTAATACACCAGCAAAATTTTATACTTGGCATGTAATCTCAAGTTTTTCAAACAAAAATTAAAAAATTGTCGGTATAAAATATTTACAAATTCAATTAAATATTTTCTATAATACATAATATAGTTTGTAAGAATTTATAAATAAAAAATTTGTACATTTAATCTGTCCAAAATAAAAAATGAACAACTGTGGATCTGACATGCCTAATCGTCTGCGCGAGAAAACTTTCGGACAGCTATTGTATTTACATCCTTGCAATACAGCGAAAGTTTTTATGACTTAAAGAAAAATATAAAGAAAAAAAGAATTAAAATAAAAAAAATTAATAAAAGAAAGTACCTAGATCAATACTCCAGTCAAAAAAAAAATTCCGTGAACACAGGCGTTGCGTGTAACAAGCAAATTATATTCCAACAAAAATGTGCCAGCGATTTAATTTTTAAACAATCGTAGTTTCGTATTCGGTTAAGTTTCAATGGGAAAGCTTACCCGAAAAAGAAAAAAAAA